CGTCTCTTCCATCCGAGGCTGCCCAGAGGAGGCCCCCGGACTTTGCCTGCCTCCCGCAGTCCCATTGCTGGCTACTGGAAAGCGCTCCAAAGCAGCAGCCTTCCTCCCCGTCCTCCCCCTCCAGCTCCTCCTCCTTGCCAGGCTACGCTGGGGGATAAAAATCAGGAGCCAGGGCTTAAAGGGGGTGGGGCTGGAGCCGATCTAGGGGTGAGCGATTAGCGTCGGAAAGCAACGGAGCTGGAGCAGGGAGTTTAAGGGTGGCTGGGTTTTTCTAAGCGTGTCATAGGAGCCATGATCCATGGAGCTCCTGAGGCAGGAAGGCGAAGTGGTCAAACTAATGAGAACTTACAGTTCCCTGCCTCCCTAGTTCTGCCCCGTTCAATCCCCTCGCAGCCCGTCCTACTTCCCCTTCTCGGGGAACCCCTCCCCGCCCCGCGCCCGGCTCGCCGGTGTCAAACTTCGCTGTGGCGCGAGCTGCTCCTGCTCGCAGCGTGGAACAGGCACCTGAGCGAAGGGGGCCGCCTGGCAAGCAGCTGCCGCTGCTAGCGCAAGGGGCTGGCCAGGAGGCGGGAAGGGGACGCTTAATGAGGTGAAGAGATTCTCTCCTTCAAGGGGAGGGCGAGGAGGGCGATCGTCTTGTACAAGGATGGCGGGGTGTGGGGGCTTGGACTGTCTAATTACCCCACGCCGAAGCGCCGTGGGTCCAAAGAACTTCAATACAGAGCGGCTGGTGTGATCCCATTAGGACCCTAGGAGTGGGGCTGCCTCAGCCTATACAGTACAACTGCCCCTCCTCCCCACCGCAGGTTTCCAAAACCAGAAGAGCTTATCATGAAACACATGGTGGAAATAGAAGCTTGAGTAAATGACAATGCTGGTGCTGAAGCTGTAGTACCGTAGGGAGAAGGAAGACACATTGTCACACACAGAAAATGTACACACTGGGTACTAAATCGCACTGTTCACAAGATAGTTGACAAAAATATAAGCCATGAATTGCTGACTTACTAATCTTTGAAAGCAGAAGCACAACTTTCTGTTTCATTCCAACATTCTTTAAACATTTCCCTGCTGCAATAAAACAGAGAAAACCATTTAAGCGATATCACCAAGAAGTCAGAACGCTTGCTTATATAAATGGCACAGGGTACAAATGATGTAGTAGGCTGACATTTTCCTTAGGTTTGGAATATTTTTAACACCAAGTGCTTTTAGAACAGTGAATCATATCAAGGGCAACTGTTTGAAATAGGCCTGGGCCAATGTTGTCTTTTGATTTATAGCCTTTTTTCTTGAAAGCCTTCTCTAAGTTCCAAAGAGCAAAACAGTAGTGTAGATTTTTTTAATTAAATGTTGCTCTCTGATAGATCATACAGTGAAGTGTGGCATCACTGATAACAATACCTTGAGAGTAGAAATATTTGCATATTTTTAAAATAGAAGGTTTTTTTTTCAAAAATAGTGTCAATCTTTGGATTTGTTTGCAGTTTTCAATAACTGAAATACAATCACAAATGTTTTAGCAACTGCAACATGGAACAGTTACTGTGGCAGTAGGCACATCTTGTCTTTTAGCTTCATTTTTAGTTATGTTTTCTGAAGTCATCCTTCTAGGAGAGAGAGGCAATATAGCATCATGGTATTTGTGAACTGAGGGAGAAGTGGTTTAAAGATGTAACTAGAAGCAATCCCATTCTGTAACCTACATAGCACCTGAGTACACAGACATATTCTAATAGGATGAATTCAAGCAAGAAAACCCTGATACATGCCTATACACAGCTATTCAAAATGTGTCCAAGATTGCAATATTGGTATTTTAAGGCATCTTTCATGAATAAGGGGAAATAGGGAAGTTGGAATTCATTTTAAAAAACCAAGGCTCAGGAACAGAATATTGTTTAAATCACCAAATACAATATGTACTTGGGCTTTGCTTCTTATCATGCTTTATGAGATTTAATCAGAATTTTCAATCCTTAAGTATTTTAAGACTTAATTTGAGAGCCACAACTTCAATGGTGAAAAGAAAATATGTTTTTAAAAGATTATTTCATTTTTGCACATGGGGCAAGGAGGGAAGTGAAACAGTAAGAAGGAATTACTATAATAAATTTTAACTGAACACAACAAGCTTTGTCCTGTTAAGATTTATAGTATGGGCTAATTAATTATCTGCTCATTTTAAAGTGCGTCTCACCTTTATTTTTATTCTGATATTAATAGCACTGAGACATAATACTAATACTCAAGTATTAGCCAAATTAAAAGTTTTCCTGGGTAACTTTTATAATAACTATTTCACAAGTGGCTCGAAGAGTTTAAAGGGATGCTGATATATATATTGTGCCAACGATCTACGCTCTGTAAATCAAAACACAAACTAATACACCGAAGAGGAATACAGGAAAATAGTTGTATATTTTAAGAACAGATTATAATAAAAACAGGCATTTTTACATTCCCAGATTGAAATTAAATTTAATCAACTGATTGCATGGAAGGAAAATTGAGCCCAGTGACTCCAAAAAAGAAAAAGGAAATGAATTGAGCAGACCTGTATATTTTCACTGCAGAAACAGAATAAAATATAAAATAGTAAATTATTCTTATTCAGTTTTATAAATCCAGAGACTTATTAGTAGTGCAAGCAAATGTTTTAAAATGCATATGAATATTCTTCGCTGACTTATTGATGAGTTTTGTCAGAGAAGCAGGCAATATCCAATAGATTGGCTAGTTGAATTTGGCTGTCACCAGCACTTCTAGTGATTGTGTCCTTCTTTTTACATGTTTTTATGTAATCTAAATTGTGAGAGGCATGGGCCTGACAGTTTATAGTGTTTTGGGGCAACAGGCATGACATGGGGAGCAGAAACATAGGCTGGATCATCCTATGAAATATGTCTGTTACATCTTGAAGGAACCACTCTTAAGTGGTCATTCGATCACTATGTCCTTTTACTCTTTGATCTCTCTGCTAAGACCTCAAAGGGGAATGCCTTTTTATATATAACAGTTGTATCAGTGATTTTTGTGCTGCAGACATTTGGTCTGAACTAAGATCGCAAACTCATTTCACACAGACTCTCAAATAGCCATCAGATGGTAACAACTTTTGGCCTCTGTTGCTTAGGGCTGGTTCTGAACTGATGACATAGACATAAAAAGTTCTATACCATATTACCAATCTTCTAAGCTGTTCAGTCTCCCAACACTAATATCTATATCCATACCCAAAGGATGTGCTTTAAAAAGCAATGACTAGATGCTGGTAGCTGTAGCTCAATGACTATGTAGGCAAAAATAACAGTCATTATTGTTCAGCAGCAGCTTGCACAGTGCCTTGGATATTAGAATATATTACACCCAGAGACATAATGTTAACTTTCTCTTATAACTCCTGAAAATACAAGCATTTACAGTTTAACATTTCATCTGAAGGCGAGCACCTCTAATAACTATACCATATGGTTTGAAAACAGCACCCGTTCAAGTATAAGTACCTTTAAGAAAGTATCCTCCCTATTGCCTAGAAATGCTCTGAGAATAAGTCTAGGTGTATGACTTTAATTCATGACCTTCTATCTCAGAAGTGAGATTGTTGTCGATTTCCATATCCACACTGATATAGTTATAAATCAAATACAGAACCATGCACTGACTGTCTTCAGTCTACAATTATTTCCTTCGTTCCCATTTCTCAAAACAGAAAAAAATACCTGTCAGGACAAGGCAAAATCCTTCCTGGTAGCAGAGAACCTGACCTCTATTACCAGTATATTCAACATAAGGATATTCCTGGCCTTTCTGCACTCCTGCAGCTTCCATTAATTCATTATCTGTCAACGCTGATTTTTTGAGGTAGGATTTTTATCTTTTTACGTGTCTGTAAAGGGCTAGGCACTCCTTGGAGCTATTGCATGCATGAAGAAATAAAGATCTACAGTACATTACACTGGTTTGATATAAGATATTTTGAGATAAGTTTTCAAAAGCTGCCTAGCTCAACTTTTTCAGTTTACACTGTAGCACGCATCATGAACAAATTTTCCAAATGATCTCCAGCTAGACTGCAAGGATTTATGCATAGCCCTGAAAAGAGTGCAGTACAGTCAGCCCCACTGATAGCAGAGGGACGCCACTTGAGGAAAGAAGTCTGCTGCATGCTTCTTTTTGAGGTTCTAGGTTGAAGCAACTCTCTGTGAACACGGACTGCATTTACATATGATATGTAAATGCATATGGTTAGATATAGTACATAAGAACATAAAAATGGCCATACCAAAGGTCCATCTAGCCCAGTACCCTGTCTTCTGACAGTGGCCAATGGCAGGTGTCTTAGAGGGAATGAGAAGATCTAATCATCAAGTGACCCATCCCCTGTCCCCCATTCCCAGCTTCTGACAAACAGAGGATACGGACACCATTCCTACCCATCCTGCCTAATAGCTATTGATGTCCCCATCCTCCATGCATTTATCTAGTTCTTTTTTGAACCCTGTTAAAGTCCTGGTGTTCACAATGTCCTTTGGCAAGGAGTTCCACAGTTTGACTATGTATTGTGTTAAGAAGTCATTTATTTTTTTAGGTTTAAACCTGCAAAATATTAATTTTATTTGGAGACTCCTAGTACTCATTTTATGGGAACAAGTAAATAACTTTTCCTTATTCATTTTCTTCACACTAGTCATGATTTTATAAACCTTTATCATCAGGGCTCGACAAATAGTACAATCTACTCACCCATGGCGAGTAGATTGCAACCCGGAAGAGCTGGGTTTGGACGATCTGCAAATTGCACAGAGCAATCTGCGCATGCACAGATCGCCGGAGAGCGCAGCTGGCGAGCAGGGCTCGCTGCGGTTCGGCGAGCCCTGTTTATCATATCCCTCCTTAGTCTCCTCTTTTCTAAGCTGAAAAGCCCCAGTTTTATTAATCTCTTCTCAAGCCCCTAATCATCTTTGTTGCCCTGTTCTGAACTTTTTCCAATGTCAAGATATCATTTTTGAGATGAGGTGACCCACATCTGCACACACTAGTCAAGATGTGGGCATGTCATGGATTTATATAGAAACAATAACATATTCTTTGACTTATTCTCTATTATTTTTTTTTAAATGAGTCCTAACATTCTGTTTGCTTTTTTTGACAGCTGCTGCACATTGGATGTTTTCAGAGAATTATTCACAATGACTCCAAAGTCTCTCTTTTGAGTGGTGATAGCTAATTTAGTCTTGTGATGGGGTGGACTAGGTGCAAAGCCCCATGCTGGAGGCTGAATGCCTTGCCACATCCCACCCCCAAGGAGAAGAGCAGAAAATAGGTCCTCCAAGCAGATTAGAGTGGCTGCTTCTTCTGCAGCCAATCAGGGCCTAGCACAGTGATATAAAAGAAGCTGTTGGGCCAGGGCCTGGCAGTTCCCCACTGGAGCTTGACCCAGCCAAACCTAGGGATTGACTGGGAGGACAGTGGCACCTCAGACAGCTCCTAGTGTGAGCTGATTTCCAGACTTGTTGGAAACCCAGGCCCAGTGGTGAACGACTAGCTATAATAAGTACAGTAATTGTAGAATCCCAGACAGGGGAAGGTGAGAATTTGAACTTAAAGTCCTGAGAGAGGGGGCTAGACAAAGCTACTTCTTGGCAAAGTGGTCCAGGGAGCGAGATAACAGTGGACTGCAGTGATAGTGTGCAGGCAACTACTTACAGGGTCCCTGGGCTGGGACCCAGAGGAGTGGGCGAGCCTCCTCCTCCCCCCCGCAACCTCAAGCTGGTACAACAAGGGGCTAAGAAGAAGCCTGGTTCCAGGCAACAAATCAGAAAACCATGTGGGGTACTTCCACTTCCTGGCTTTGTCTACACTACGGAGCTTTATAGGAAAAAGGCAATTTGTGTACTTTTTTCCGATAGTTTTTTTTGGAAGAGGCTTTTATAAAATTTGGCCCATCTACACTGGGCCAAATTTCAGGAAAAACCTTATTTTGGAAGAGCCCTTCTTCTTCATGGGAGGAGGAAGACAAGGCTTCCAAAAGAGCGCATCTGCTCTTCTGCAAAAAAAAGTGGAAGAGCAGATATGTTCCCTGGATGCGGTGGAGTTTTCCTGGGATACCTCCAGTATCCTGGAAAACCCCCGTAGTCTAGATGTAGCCCCAGAGATGGTCAGGGCAGAGTAGTTGCACACACCATTGGCTACAAACGGGCAACCACAAGAGGGTGAACCCCTTCAAAATTCCCTATCATTTTATTTGTATAGTTGGAATTATGTTTTCCAGTGTGCATTATACTTTGCATTTATCAATATTAAAATTTAGCTACTATTTTGTTGAACAGTCACCAAGTTTTGAGAGATCCTTTTAAAGCTCTTCACAGTCTGCTTTGAACTTAACCATACTGACAGTTTAGTATCATCTGCAAATTTTGCCACCTCACTGTGTAACCCATTCTCCTGATAATTTATGAATGTGTTGAGTAGAATTGGTTCCAGTATGGACCTCTACAGGACACCACTAGTTGCCTCTCTCCATTCCATTTATTTCTACTGTTTTTCCCATCTTTTAACCAGGTATCAAACCATGAGAGGATTTTTCCTCCTATTCCATGATAGCTTACTTTGCTTAAGAGCCTTTGGTTTGAGACCTTATCAAAAGTCTTTCTGGAAATATAAGTACAGGTTGTACCTCCCTTAACAGGACTCTTTGGTCCAGCAATATCCATGGTCTGGACCATGGATGTTCCTGGACCACAGAGCCCAGGTATAGGGAGTTTGGGCCATGGTGCAGGAGTGGCAGGAGGGGCTGGCGACTCCTCTGGGAGCATATTGACGGGGGAGCACAAAAAGGCAGACAGTGCAGTAGGACTCTCTCAAAGAATTGATGGGCAGGGTCCCCTGGGATGCACAGGAACAAACTAGGGATGTTAAAGACTAGTCAAGTAGTTGATTTTCCGAGAAGCAAATACTTATTGGATAGACAGTCTACCTGTTGACTAGTCGATTCTTTCCCCTTGCTGCCTCTATTAAATAGAGGCAGCAAAGGTGGTGGTGGGGGGGAGAGGGAGTACTTCAAAGCAGCAGTGCCACACAACTGAGTCTGGGCTCAGCTGTGTTGTGCTGCCACTTTGAAACCCCTCAGCATTTGAAAGGGACAGCACCACACAGCTGAGCTGGGGATTAGATGTGCAGCTGCCCCTTTGAAACATTGAGGTGGTGTTCAAAGGAGCAGCGCCACACAGCTTAGGCCAGGCTCAGCTGTGTGGCACTGTCCCTTTGAAATGCTGCCATGGCACCGCTGGGGACTCTTGTACATTTCAAAGCTGGTGCCTGCTTGCAGCCCAGAGTCAGTGAGACTTCCCACTGGCCCCGGGCCACACATGGAGTTCTGCATTCCTCCTTTGAAATGTACAAGTGTCCCAGCAGGGGCTCTTGTACATTTCAAAGGAGAAATACTGAAGTGCCTATCGACTAGTTGAGTAGTCAATGGAAATTCCATCAACTGCTCGACTAGTAAATTAACCATTACTTAACATCCTTAGAACAAACCATCCTGATGAGCAGTAAAAAAAAAAGCAAATATGATAGGCGACCAGCTTGGCTCAGCAGGGAAATCCTTGGTGAGCTTAAACACAAAAAGGAAGCTTACAAGAAATTGAAACTTGGACAGGTGACTAGGGAAGAGTATAAATATATTGCTAGAACATGCAGGGTGTAATCAGGAAGGCCAAAGTGCAATTGGAATTGCAGCTAGCAAGGGATGTGAAGGGTAACAAGAAAGGTTTCTATGGGCATGCTAGCAATAAGAGGGTGATCAGGGAAGGTGTAGGTCCCTTACTGGATGAGGGAGGTGACAGATGATGTGGGAAAAGCTGAAGTACTCAATGCTTTTTTTGCCTGTCTTCACAGACAAGGTGAGCTCGCATACTACTGCACTAAGCAACACAGCATGGAAAGCAGGTGGGCAATCCTCAATAGATAAAGAACAGGTTCAGAACTATTTAGAAAAGTTAGACATACCCAAATCCATGGGGTCAGATTTAATGCATACAAAGGCTCTGAGGGAGTTGGCAGATGTCATTGCAGAGCCATTGGCCATTATCTTTGAAAACTCATGGAGGTTGGGGGAGGTCCCAGACAACTGGAAAAAGGCAAATGTAATGTCCATCTTTAAAAAAGGGAAGAAGGACAATCCAGGGAACTACAGACTGGTCAGCCTCATCTCAGTCCCCACAAAAATCATGGAGGGAATCCTCAAGGAATCTGATTTGAAGCACTTGGAAGAAGGGAATGTGATCAGGAATAGTCAACATGGATTCACCAATGGCAAATCATGCCCGACCAACTTGATTGACTTCTTTGGTGAGGTAACTGGCTCTGTGGACATGCGGAAGTCAGTGGATGGGATATATCTTGAATTTAGCAAAGCTTTAGATACGGTCTCACACATAATTCTTGACAGCAAGTTAAGGAAGTATGGATTGGATAAATGGACTGTAAGGTAGGTAGAAAGCTGACTAGATTGTTGGGCTCAACGGGTAGCAATCAATGGCTGGATGTCTGGTTGGTGGTTGGTGTCAAGCGGAGTGCTCCAAGGATCGGTTCTATGGCTGGTTTTGTTCAACATCTTTATCAATCACCTGGATCAGGGGATGCATTGCAACCTCAGCAAATTTGTAGATGACACTAACCTGTGGGACAGGTTGATATGTGGGAAGGTAGGGATAGGGTCCAGAGTGACCTAGCCAAATAGCAGGATTGGGCCAAAACAAATCTGATGAGGTTCAACAAGGACAAGTGCACAGTCCTGCACTTGGAATGGAAGAATCCCAAGCACTTTTACAGGCTGGGGACCAACTGACTAAGCAGAAGTTTGACAGAAAAGGACATGGGTGCTATAGTGGACAAGAAGCTGGATATGAGTCAACAGTGTGTCCTTATAGCCAAGAAATCTAATGGTATATTAGGGTGCATTAGGAGGAACATTTCTAGAGAAGTAATTATTCCCCTTTATTCCGCACTGGTGAGGCCACATCTGGAGTATTGGGTTAATTCTGGGCCCCTCAATCAGAAAGGATGTGGACACATTAGAAAGGGTCCAGCAGAGGGCAATGAAAATTATTAGGGGGCTGGAGCACATGACCTACACGGAGAGACTGAGGATTTGGGCATGTTTAGTCTGCAGAAGAGTGAGGGGGGATTTGATAGCAGCCTTCAAATTCCTGAAGGAGGGTTCCAAAGAGAATGGAGAGAGGCTGTTCTCAGTAGTGACAGATGGCAGAACAAGGAGCAATGGTCTCAAGTTTCAGTGGGAGAAGTTTAGGTTGGATATTAGGAAAAACTATTTCACTAGGAGGAAGGTGAAGCACTGGAATGGGTTACCTAGGGAGGTGGTGGAATTTCCATCCTTAGAGGTTTTTAAGTTCTGGCTTGACAAAGCCTTGGCTCGGATGATTTAGTTGGGGTTGGTCTTCCTTTGGATAAGGGGCTGGACTTGATGACCTCCTGAGGTCTCTTCCAGACCTCAGATTCTATCATTCTATGAAGTTCTGGCCCCTCTGGCCATGGAGCATGGAGGGCTGGCAGCGGCAGGCAACAGCGAGGCAGGGCTGGAGCTCTAGCTGGTGGCAGCAGGGCAGCATAGACCATGTTGGGAGGGACCTAGTGGTTAAGGTACTGACCTGCTACATGTGAGACTCATGGGGAAAGTCCCCTCACCAACTGATGGGGAAAATGGTTTTGAAGCAGGCTTTGCCATCTCTGGGCCATAGGCTATTCTGAAAAGTATGTCCCTTGGACTCTCCATCTCAAGCAGTTCCACTGCAGTCAATAATCTTAAAAGCCCATTAGAGCAGGGGCTCTGGATGCAGGATCTCCCGCCTCCTAGGTGAGTGTTCAAACCATGGGGCTACTAAGTCTTTCTCTTGCTCTCATTTCCCTGCCTCCAGTGATTTCCTTATTATTTATCCAAGGCTCTACCCATTCCCTTTCCTCATATTGCCTCCCACTCCTGCCTTATTATGTGTATAAGGAGGGGTAGAAAGTAGCGGCTATGTGGAGCTTGCTCTCCTCACCCCATGCAGGAAACACTGCAGTGTACAGGTGCTAGGAAGTAAAGGGCACCTTAATGCTTTTACTCCTTTGCACTGGTACTCAGGATGGGCCATAATCTGGTTTTCAGAAGCATGCGATGTTGTATACAGCCAAAGCCAGGATGCTCTGCTTGCTGGCCCAAGGAATGGCTCTAGTGTTTTTGATCTTAGGCTGTTTTCTCTGATCCATTAGATTTTTATTACATATCTGATTAGAGCCTGATCAAATTCATGGCTATGAAAAACCCATCACAGGCCATGAAATCTGCTTTTCTCCCATGAAATCTGTTTTTTTTTTCTGTGTTTTTATTCTATACAGGTGAGTGTTTCTCAAATTGGGGCTCTTGACCCACAGGAAGCTAGAGGAGGATCACAAGCTTATTTTAGGAGGGTTGTCCTATTGCCACCCATCTCTGCTGCCTCCAGAGCTAGGTGATGGGACAGCAGCAGCTGTTAGCTAGGCACCCAGAACTGAACGAAGTAACATACCCTGTCACCCTTACTTCTACACTGCTGCTAGCACCTCTGTCTTCAGAGCTGGGCTACTGCCAGTGGCCACTGTTTCTGAACTCACTGAAGGTATCCTCCCTCAATAATCATACAATCCCCCAAACTCCTTCTTCTTTTGGTTAGGACCCCAACAACTATAACATCATAAAACTTTAGATTTAAATAGATAAAATAATGAAATTTACAGTTTTAAAATCCCTTCAACTGTGAAACTGACCAAAATGCACTGTGAAGTTGATAGGGCCCTCTACGATATACTGCATATATTGTG